AGTGTGCTGTTTCCTATGCTGCCTGGATTCATTCCGTGATTCTGTTGGGATGAATCTTTCCTTTTTGTTTGTGGTGTAGTAAATCAATTCAAGCTGCTCTAGTGCCATCTTTGTACGGTGTGCAGATGATGTGAAAGAATATTTGCTATCTGAGTGATAGTGCTGACATATCACCACCAAGATCTCTGATGCACTCTGATGCCTGTTCCCTGCTGTTGCTCCATGGCTGTGGAGCAGCTGTGCATTAAAGGGTCTGTGTTTCCAGGACAGGATATCCAGCCAAAGCGGGACCTCACGCGTTTTGTCAAATGGCCGCGCTACATCAGGCTGCAGCGCCAGAGGTCCATCCTTTACAAGCGCTTGAAGGTGCCTCCTGCCATTAACCAGTTCACTCAGGCTTTGGACCGCCAGACAGGTAAGGATGTGCCACATGCAGTTCTCTTGACCTGGGTCATTGATGGGATATGCTTCAGAGAGAAGGAAAGAAACTGAAATAAGACGTAACTAAGGTAAGCTGGGGAGAATCTTTGGAAGCATTTTAGGGAGGTTTTCAGAGTGACAGGGGTGATGTCATAGCAAGCTGCTGTCTGAATTTGCTGGCTTAAATCTTGGCTGCTGTGTACCTTGGAAAGGGGTATAGAAGATACCAGAGCTTCTAGTTAAGGATGCAAACCCAGGGTTATCTCAAGTGCATGTTTCCATCAGAGGCCATTATTCCAGCTTGCTGCAGAACCACCTGTGGTTCTTTATCTGAATAAACAGGTAGTTTGAGCAATGTGTGTGAGTACAGGCCTTTGCGGAATGCTCGCATCGTGCAGGCTGACATTGAAACAGGCTAAGAATGGGCTTCAGTGTCTTGTGTGAACTACTTACTTCTGAAGTAAATAGCCTTTTCCAGGTGGTAGTGTCTATGCAAGAAATTTTTGACCTATGTAGAGCAATTCTTTCATAGATGTAATATAAGTTGCTTGCTTTAAAGGAGAAAGTGCACCACATTTAACTGTAATTGCTGAGGGGGTCCACAGGCATTTCCTTATCCAAAGGGTGAAGAGCTCATTGCCAACAGAGGTGCGCATCGAGGTAAATAGGTGCTCTGGAGGTGCTCCACTCTTGCCCTGTGCAAATGATGCTAACCTTTTGCTGTCTGTGTGCACTTGATGACAACTACCAAGAGAATTGATGCACTTTAGTATTTTACAAAGTAATGCTTAGCTTTTCGGGCTGTGCAGCTGAACGGATGTGCAGCAGTGGATGTTCTCTTCCAGCTACGCAGCTTCTGAAGCTGGCGCACAAATACAGGCCAGAAAATAAGCAAGAGAAGAAGCAGAGGCTGCTGGCTCGTGCTGAGCAGAAAGCTGCAGGAAAGGGAGATGCTCCAACTAAGCGGCCACCAGTTCTCCGAGCAGGTAACTTTGTACATGGACTTGAGACTCTGAAAAGAGTCTCTGCTTCAGCCAGGCAGGACTGGACAAGCTATTGCAATGATGTATGAATTTCTTCACCTGAGCTCAAAGTGAAGAGCAAAATAGACGAGCTTTTTAACCCTGAGCTTTAGCAGATTGTCCAGGGAATATCTTCTGCGTGGATGTGGAAAGTTTTCATAACTTTTGGAATGAATCTGCTATGGAGTGTGAGCTGGTTCTGTGAGGCTGACATTGAATCTCTGAAAACGGACTGACTGGAATCAAAGCTTATCTATTCCTTGCTTTTCAGGTATTAACAGTGTTACAACTCTGGTGGAGAACAAGAAGGCTCAGCTTGTAGTTATTGCCCACGACGTAGATCCCATTGAGGTAAGTGTACTCACTAGCAGATCTTACAGGCTACACATGTAACCTAAGCTGAGGTCAGAACTGGACTTGGAGTGAAAATGCATTTTAGGACAAATCTATTGTGTGAAAAGGGAGTGCATAAAAATATATTTACCAGCACTGGAGCATGTATGCATGTTCATAGTTGTCCTGGTATTACAGTGAGGCTTGGCCCTTGCTATGATGTGTGAATTTCTTCACCTGAATTAATAGTGAAGAGCAAAACGAGCTTTTTAACGCTGAGCAATTGCCCCAGCCCATGCTGATCCAAAGGACAGACAGATGTTCTCCCTCAGCTCTACAGCATGTTCCTTTTCTTTGCAGCTGGTGGTCTTCTTGCCAGCCCTGTGCCGCAAGATGGGAGTGCCATACTGCATCATCAAGGGCAAAGCCAGACTGGGGCGGCTGGTCCACAGGAAAACCTGCACCTCTGTTGCTTTCACCCAAGTTAACCCGTAAGTGTTCTGCAATCTGATGTGATTCTCTGTGATGAAAGCAAACTGGCCGTAGGCACAGGCTGTAGGGCAGGTGGACAGCAAACCTGAGTTTGTCTAGTATAAAGTAGTAAACCTGAACTGTTACCTCTATAATGTCTAATACATATGTCCTTTTGAATGAAGAGCTCTACTGAACCCTGAAAATACAGATCTATTTTGGTTTACCAGAACGAATAGTTACTCTGAAATACATACATGGAACTATTAACCTTAACCTGAGCAATGCAGGTTCCTGAAGTATTGATAGGTGGAGTGGTTAAGCGTTTGCAAATGATGCTTAACCTGAAAAATCACATTGCTACTATGAGCTTTTAAACGCTGAGGCAAATGATTTGTGGAAAACGTTAAATTGAGGCTCTCAAGGAACTAAAAATTGTCACCAACAGGGAGGATAAGGGAGCCCTTGCAAAGCTGGTGGAGGCCGTCAAGACCAATTACAATGACAGATATGATGAGGTAAGATTCTTTGTGCTGCTAGCCTTGTCTTTCATTTTACACTGTTTACATCCCAAAAGCTTCCTAGTGAAATGCAGATGATTTCGGACATAGTGACATCAACTTAAAGCCTGTTTGGTGTGTTGTACATGACTTGCTTGTGATGTATGCAGATTCTTTTCTTCAGAGCAGGGTAAACGTGAGCACTGTCACCAAGTTAGAAGTCAACAGAGCTATCGCAGGGCTAGGATTGTGGTGAGGGCAGCAGCTTCTGCTGGGCTTGACTCCATCCCAAGTCCAGAAATGAACGTGATGGCTGAATCCAGCACCATTCTTGGGAAAGACTTTTAAACTCTAGTATCTGGGAAAGATTTTAAACTCTAGTATCTCTGTGCTGCCCAGAAATGTTCACTGCTTGAAATGTGTAGGGCTTCCTAGTTGAGGGAGCTCTTCCCCTTGTGCAGAAAGGAGAGGAATTGAGCAGGTTGGTTGAATGGTACAGTAAGAGGTGGTATGAGGTATCTAACCTGTTCTTGCTTCTTTGCAGATCCGGCGTCACTGGGGTGGTAACGTCTTGGGTCCAAAATCGGTGGCTCGCATTGCTAAGCTTGAAAAAGCAAAGGCTAAAGAGCTGGCTACTAAGCTGGGTTAAAGATGTACTGGATGGCTATGTGTTTTCTGTACATAAAAAGAATAAACCCTCAGATTCAGTTTTGGTGGCCTCTATTAATGGGATCGTTCCAGGCAGTGGATAGCACAGTGGCTTTGCCTTACGTCTGTTTGCCTTCATCAAATGATTGAATAGGGCCATGCAAACAGCAGTATGGGGCAGGTACTTGGAAGAACTGCTCTTAACTACTAGTCCTCTGTAGTGATTCCTGTTCTTTAACACACAGTCCATCTACAGCAGCTCAGCTGCCTGTGCTATGTGATCACAGAGTTGAATGTGCTGGGCTACTTTTGGCTTTAGGCCTAGCTTGCATATGCAAATGTGTCTCAATTGGAAATTGCTCCAGGACATGTCCATTAGTACTTACAACTGGGTTATGCTGTGGGTGAGCCAGGGTGATAGTTCATGCTAGCAGACTAACTAGATAGATAGGCACTGCATATGAGGAAGTGTCCCATGCCTCTGGCAGGGAAGGCAGACTGAAAGCAGGGGGAAATCTAGACCACCTTGTGCTTGTCTTTCCTTGCTGCTGTGACTTGGTCTACTTGGTATCGTGAGAGGCTGTCGGGTTTGATAAGGCTCCAGCTGTGGGAGCTGCTGCTTGTTTTCAGTAGCCCTTAGCATGTTCTTGTGAAGGCCCGGGCTGCCTGACTCAGCTTGACTCGAGCATCTGCAATAGTTGTTCTTTTGGTCACTGTTTGGATGCAAGATACACAACGGAAGTCACAAGGCAAGCACGTGAAATCCCTCTTCATTTATTCTGATGCAACTGCTAGGAACCACTCCTGACTTCAGGAATGACTACTCTGTGAAGAAACCTTTTCATCTTTTGGAAAGTACAGCAGTGGAAAAGTTTAAAGTGTAGTTTACCACCAGCCACAATAGAAACGTGTATCCTGAAGATTAATGTATAAATAAGCTTCCCTGGAAGTCTCAACTGGCACTTAAAATTTTAAGTTCAGTGCTTCCAAGCTGCAGCTAAATAATGCTGGTAGGACTTTAGAGTCTATCAGTACTTAAAGTCTATCTGCAGCTTGATAGCTGTGTGCCTTTACTGCACATGTTGCCCTAGAACTCTGCTGCAGTTATTGAGGAGTGAGGGGGCTGCTGTCTTCCAGAGACATCTGCTCTTGACTGTAGTACAAAGAGACTTGCCCTTCCACTCACAGAGGTATCTTCTGTATGAATTTTCTGTACCACAGGAATGCAGTTGCAGCACATAAGCCGTACCTGTAAAAGAAAACTGCGTTTACACCTTTTCCAGATGAACTGGACCTTCTTAGCACTGCTGCAGTGCAAAAACCCGCAGTTACTTCAGATCACCTGTACGATGCTACCGGGGTTAAAATTTCAGGCTATTGCAGCTTAAGAGCTCATGTGGTTGCAGGAGCCAGAATGCCAGGCAGGGCTTCACATGCAAAAGAAACCTGTAGAAGGTTAGCCCCATGCTGCCTGGGTAACTTACCAGGTGATGATGTACTGCATGTGCTCGTTTCTCAGGCTCACTCGTGTCTGGCCTCCGATGGGACCCCCGGGAACTGTGCTTCCTGCAGGTACAATGGGAGTTAAACCTACACCTGCACCATGCAGAGCTGTCCTTGTTGTGGGATGAAGCTGTTAGGTGGATACTCTACTCCTCTTCCCCAGGTTATGGTATTCCCAAGTTACCAGCAAAGCCAGAGCTGTAGGGCAGGGGGTGGTTGTGCTCAAGGCATTGAACACCACCTGCACCTCTGCTGAGCATGCTGCTGTTCCCCGGTGCTGGCTGCCCAGCGTAGAATGGTTTGGGTTGGAATGGACCCTAAAGCTCTTCCAGTTCCAACCCCCTGCCCTGGGCAGGGACACCTTCCACTAGAGCAGGTTGCTCCAATCCCCTGTGTCCAGCCTGGCCTTGAACACTGCCAGGATTGGGGCAGCCACAGCTTCTCCGGGCACCCTGTGCCAGCACCTCAGCACCCTCACAGGGAAGAGCTTCTGCCTCAGAGCTCATCTCAATCTCCCCTCTGGCAGGTTAAAGCCATTCCCCTTGTTCTGTCACTACCTGCCCTCATAAAAAGTCTCCAGGTTTCTTGTAGGCCTCTATCACCTTCAAAATAGCAGACCTCCACAGACAAAGAAGCAGTACCTTGCTGGACTTGATTTTAAAGGTCTTTTCCAAACTAAATCATTCCATGAGTCTGCCTTTCCAAGTGCCTAGGGGAAATAACTAACTGAGCAGAAAGGGAGTGAGACCGATGGAAACTGGATGTGGGGATGGGTTTCTCTGTGACTTACTGAAGTCGGCATCAATGAAGATGGGCTCAGCACCCGTCACCCCTGCCATAGCCTGCAGGTCCCGGTAGTGCCAGCGGTTTTTCTCAATGTTGTTTTCAGGCACAAAAGGCTTCCGGGTTTCTGATAATCTCACCACCCCAGTGAGTTCAATTTCATCTTCAATCTGAAATGCAGGGGAGAAAAAAAAAGGAATCTTGCAAGATTTATTTCATTTTCTGGCATATCAAGTCCTGGTAGAAAAACGTGGCACTCGCGGGGTCTGGTTATAAAGTAGTTGTGCCCTGCAGTGAGGCGGTGCTGTAACATAGCAGGGAAAAAAGCAGATCAAGCTCCTTTTGTTTGTAAAAATGTTTGTAAAACACACACTGACGTAACACAAAGGTGGGAAGAAGAGGTTTCCCTTCTTTGAAAAGCACAACTACCATAAGCAACCCCCCATGACGCTGAACAGGGCTGCTGCCTTTCTTGATTTTCTGTAGTGTCTCTCTGCACCCAGAGGGCAGAGAGTAACAGGCCTGATCCCTGCGTCCCCCCCTTACCTGTCCCTTCTGCCTGGTTTCTGGTTTCAATTTATTTTTGGGCACAAATCCTCGGTTGACTAAAATCGTGACCCTAGAATTACATAAAGAAATATGGCTCATGAGTGGAAGAAAATTTATTCCTTCTGCTGCTGCCTAGAACTAAGTATGAAAGAACAAAGCAACCCATATGTTTAGTGCCATGTTTTTGTCATCTGAGTGCACATTATAGGGGAATTTAAATACCATTTCAAATCAAGCCTCGGTGACCCAACAGACTGAGAGATGCCTTTTAAAGGAGAGGGAGCCATTTCTATAAACCCAGCCACTATGATTCAGTTCTTCACAACAGAAGCTGGTTGCTCACATGAACCAAGACTTTCATTAACTTACCCTAGGTCTGTGCAGTAGAAAGGAGTAATGACGTTTGCGCCGTTCTCCGGGTGGGACATCAGCCGCGAGGCTGCTCTAGCTTCTCGCTCAGGCTCCACAAGTGACCGTGGCAAAATATAGAGCTCCTTCGAGTGGTCAAAATGGCCCCGGACCTTTACAGGTCTGTACTCCAACTCCTTCAGTTCCATGGGGCTGCATGGAAAAGGATGAAAATAAAATCATGGCTGCGACAAGCAAATCTAATTAGGAGATTTACTGTGGGATTCTCCTTTTCCCTAATGGTTCACTCTAAAGCCAGCTGACAAAGAGAAACAGAAGATAAACACCTCACGGAATAACCATCTGGCTTAATACTTATTACTGTCCCAGTGAATCATATGGAGATGCTCATGAGCAGGCAGAAAGCAGTTCTTTTCCATGGTATCCGTAACCCACACGCAGCTGATCAGCAGGTGGATACACTGCACGTGTGTCCAGCCAACAGGGAGCATTGCTCTATCTGAGACCATGATATAGAACTACTGAACTCTTTGACAGCTGTGCCATATGGCCAAGTGACCTTAAAAATCTCTCACGTCTGACACAACTGCCCCATGCTTGGGGCAGGGCCAACTATCAATCCAAGACTCCCTGTGGCAGGAATAATTCCCTTGGGACATCACAGACACCAACTACCAAACCCTCCTCTTTTCCAGGAGGACTACATATGGTACGAAATACATACCATGTTCTCCTGAACAGAGATTCATGCTTTTTATTTGCATTTACAGTATCCCACAGGGAAGCATTCACTTATTCTTTTACTATAAATAAGAAAATTAACAGGATGTTTTTCTAATTCGCTCGCACATCCCGATTCCCATCAGATTCCTTCATTTGCATGCAGTTTAATTTAGAATAAGCTCATTAGTGCAGGGACCACTTCTTCTATCCCCAGCACACTGTCAGTGCTCTGCAGACAATGAACTATGACAGCTTCCATACTCTAATGTCAGAGGGATGGGCTCGGATGTAATTCTTGATGCCAGTTGTGCAATCAAATCTAATTTCCACTTTCGTCGCTGAACCTGAAAGTACACAAATAGAAAAGTAACCCCTCAGGGTAGAGCAAGGCAACGCAGAAACCCCAGTCAGCCTGAGAACCTTTGCTACAAGCTTCTTGTCAGACCTGGCCTAAAGCAGGGGAATCAGAGATAGGAAAATAGAGGCTACTGACTTGAATTTGAGGAAATATTTACACTGAAATGGAAGTATAAAAAATAAGAATCTCTCCTTTAAAGACTTTCAAATGGACACTTGGAAAACAAAAATTTAACTTAACAGCAAATCTCTCCCCCACACAAGATTCGAACTAGATGAAACAGCCGGAGATGGAACACGCTGACAACCCTCAAGTGCTCATCTCCTGAAAAAACGAGTATTTATTTGTACCTGCCACGTGCCGAGACAGAATGTGGTCAGAGGGACCAGGAAAAGACCCCATTTGAGCAAGATATCTTCTCCAGATGCATCAGCAGCTGTTGTAGAACTTTGTGGTCTGCAGAACCTAAAAAAAACACCTGAGGAAAACAGAATGAGGATCAGGATTTGTATAGGAGCAGAGATGCCAAACTCCTACAAGAAATGTCACCTCTAGGTGTAAGGTTGAAACAGAACAGAAACCCAAAGCTTACCTTCAGTCTGCTGGACCAGACCAGAACCTGCTTTAGTTAGGGGAAATCCAAAAAAAGTTCTTCTGATCAAGCAGTGGGATATCTACATGAAACAAGAAAGATAAGAACGATCCTTTGTTGTGTCTCTGCTTTGTAGAATTTGTATCTGGATTACATCATTTGCTCAATGGGGCATGAAATTTTGTTTACCCGTGGATTTAAGTTTCATCTGAGCAACTGCCTGTGAAACGCTATGGGTGGGGTTATAATAAAAACTGCACACATCTAAACCAAACTGCAGTGATAGAGCTGACCACAGGAGCTTTCCCTGCCCCTCCACGCTGCCTGCACACACCCCCACCAGCC